TAAACTTCTCTAATAAGGATTAAAGGCAATTTTTATTGCCTACAAAACCCCTTCCAAAGTTTTCAGACCTGAATCAGGCCGCATGGGGTCTGGAACACTTTGGATATGAAGACCCGTAAAGTGATCCCTGCTCAGATGGAGTGAGGAGCCCTCCAACGAGCTCGGTGAAGTTGACCTCTTCACTCGCAGCTGATGATCGCCTTCTAGGATTTTGAGCAAACCCTCAGCTATCAACGGACTTGATTTGTCTTTACCAACTGCCGTTTGAGTGGGACTAGCCATGCTCTTGCCCTTAGCATGATAAGTTGTCGAGGAGTTTCTCTTAGGCTCAATGCTAAAATTTCTCCTCTATCCTTAGCTTTTCGAGGCATTTGGATTAAGAGCGTAGGGAGCAGTTTAAACCTCGTATACCAGTCGGAGGGTAGGAGCAGTTTAGACTCATGCACCAGTTGAAGTAAAGGAACAGTTTAGCCTCGTGCACCGGTTAGAGGAAAGGAGCACTTTATATTCTTACACCAGTGGGAGTATAAGGGGGTAGTTTAGACTCATGCACTAGTCGGAGTATAAGGGGGCAGTTTAGACTCATGCACCAGTTGGAGTAAAGGGAACAGTTTATACTCATATACCCGTTGGAGTCTAGGGAACAGTTTATACTCGTATACCCGTTGGAGTCAAGGGAACAGTTTATACTCGTATACCCGTTGGAGTCAAGGGAACAGTTTATACTCGTATACCCGTTGGAGTCGAGGGAACAATTTATACTCGTATACCCGTTGGAGTCTAGGGGGGAAGCTTGTCTTCTCCTAGGGCAAGGATGAAGACGAACCCTGATTTGTCTTCTCTTGGGGCAAAGACGAACCCTGAAATAGCAGCATATCGCATAGTAGGCCACTATCAAACAACAACACCTTTTATAGGAAAGACGGTACTGGGAGAATCAAATCATTCAGGGACGTATAAGTATGACGACTGATCAGACAACGTCATTTGCAGGAATGACGGTGTCGGCTATCATAGGTAATCGTTAACGTGATAGGAATTGCCACGATCGGAGCGACTTTGAGGACCTACCATCCTTTTGAAGAGGATTGGTAAGTTGATTTTGTCAGAGGTGTAGTGTTAACGTGATAGATTTGGGGGTCCCGCTATCCTATTGAAGAGGATTGGCGGGGGATTGTGGCTTTGGTCCTAACTATCGGAAGGTTTGACCAAGTGGGAGTTTGATGCAGCCATCCTGAACTGCTAGTCTCGCCTGTTTTGAGCGGTTCGCCATAACCGGGAACCTGGCTCAAGAAGTGGAACTCACCTAAACTGTTAGGCTCGACTGATTTGAGCGGTTCGCCCGTACTGGGAACCTGGCTCAAGAAGTGGAGCTCGCCTAAACTGTTAGGCTCGCCTGATTTGAGTGGTTCGCCCGTACTAGGCGAAGTGGAGGGGGCTCCAATCCGACGTTATTATGTAGGGAATAGTTTAGCCTCTTATACCAGTTGGAGGATCAAAAGAAGCAGTTTATACTCGTGTACTTGTCGGAGTGTAGGAGCAGTCATGCACCAGTTGGAGTGCAAGAGAACTATCAGAGGTGATTGTTAACGTGATTGCTTTGTGGGCCAGTCGTCCTATTGAAGAGGATCGACGGGAAATTGTCAGAGGTGTAGTGTTAACATGACGAGATTTGTCGCGATTGGAGCGACTTTGTGGGCCTGCCGTCCTATTGAAGAGGATTGGCGGGGGAGTGTCAGAGGTGTAGTGTTAACTTGACAGGGATTGTCGGTCATGTGCACACTCGCGTGCCTGCCTCGAATTGAGAGAGTTCGCCAGGTGCCCTTGGTTCACCAAAATTGAGCACCTTACTCACAGAGTGGGGCTCGCCTAAACTGCTAGGCTCGCACGATTTGAGAGGTTCGCGAAAACTGGGAACCTGGCTCAAGAGGTTGGTCTCGCCTAAACTGCTAGGCTCGCCCGATTTGAGCGGTTCGCCAAAAATGGAAACCTGGCTCAAGAAGTGGTGTTTGTCTAAACCATTAGGCTCTCCTGATTTGAGTGGTTCGCCGAAACTGGGAACCTGGCTCAAAGAGATGGGCTCGCCTAAACTGCTAGGCTCGCCGCCTCAAGCCTGAATAATAATTCAGGCTGTCGTGGGGGATGAGGGATTGTGCCTCGAGACGAGCGAGAGCTTTTCATCGCCGCTGTTTGGATCTTTTTGAACGAGGAGCGTTCATGTCGACGACGGAGGCGTAGTCTGCGTCGACACGAATGGTTGATTCCTTTTGCACAGGGGTCTGCGAGGATCGTTCATTGACCCACTCAGCAGCCCCTAGACCTGCATTCTCGAATCTTGGCTCGGCCTCAACTGGTTTGGGGGGAAAAGAACCCCCTGCCTCGGCTTGGGTAGATCCCTCAGGCTTGCTTGCCTCGGCCTCTTGGGGTTGGGCCACCCGCACGACTCTTTAGTCATCGCGAGATGTATTGCCGCCAGAAGAGGATGATTGTAAGTAACCCTCGAATTTGATCACAAGGGACTCAACCGTAGTGCCTGCAGCAACTTCGTCAAACTGCGCCACCACCAATTCATCTGAATGAACGGATTCTCCTACTGTGGTCGCCATCTTCCGTAGGTGTAAATTTTGATCTCCCGAAAATAGGGATCTCGTTTGTATTGATAAGAATAGCTTATTACAAACTAATGAATCAAAGTTACAACAGAAACGGAGGGAATGCCCTCCTTGTTTAACGTGAGGTCTTTAGTAGCGATAGGACGCCTCCCTCGGTTCTCGCACCGAGACTGCTTCCCTTGGACGATCCGATCGAAGTTGCTGCCGGAGCTTCAGTTCTCAAATGAGGGAGCCTTTGGCAAAAGTCCAGGTTCAACATTTGGGAGATTAGCCAGCAGAATATGTAACAGCCAAATCCCCCTCTTCATGCTGGCTGAAGATGGGTTTTAATAGGCAAGGGATGGCATGGGCCATCCCTTGATTCGTGAGATTTGACCACTAATAGAGGTGAGGGAGCCAGCCGCCCTAGCTGTGGGATGTGACCACTTAGGGGGTCCTGTCAGCCACCCTATTCTTGCTAGGTGAGGAACGCCATGCTTTCTCCCTTAATTTGTGAAATTTGACCACTGATGGAGGTGAGGGAGCCAGCCGCCCTAGCTGTGGGATGTGACCACTTAGGGGGTCCTGTCAGCCAGCTTGGGTCTGCATGCGAGCTTGGGACTGCAGGCAGACTTGGGTCTGCAGGCGAGCTTGCAGGCGAGCTGAGCCTGCAGGCGAGCTTGGGACTACAGGCAGACTTGGGTCTGCAGGCGAGCTTGCAGGCAAGCTGGGTCTGCAGGCGAGTTTGCAGGCGAGCTGGGTCTGCAGGCGAGCTTGTGACTGCAGGCAAACTTTGGTCTGCAGGCGAGCTTGAAGGCGAGCTGGGTCTGCAGACGAGCTCGGGTGTGCAGGCAGACTTGGGTCTGCAGGCAAGCTTGATCGTGCAGGCGAAATTCGAGCTGCAGGCGAGCTCCTGAGCATGGATCGAAGAATAGGCCGTAACTTTCAAACCGTAAGTCAGAATTGGACGAATTATATATGAAAATCGCCTATCTCGACGAGACGGAGCCATCTGAACCGAGCCAAAGGCTTCGGTTCGCTTCCTCTGTTTCGCCAAATTCCTTACGGTTTGGGAGATATCTGCGTTTTCCCCCTTTTTATCAGTGTTTTTCCCCTTTTTGTTATTTCGGGTGAGTTTTTAGCAGTTTTGTTCTGAACTTCTGTGATAATGATTAAAGACAATTTTTATTGCCTATAACTCTCTAATCTGTGTTGTAGCCTCAATGATTCTAGACACGAATATTCAGCGCCAGCTGTACCATCACGGAGACCTGTATTGGCAGCCTGACACGCGCTAATCGGAATTGACGAACAAGCCCACCGATATCTCGATGCTGCTATCGACTAACATCACTTTCTAAGTGTGAGTCCCTACATCAAATTTACGGGTATTGTCCATTCTGAACCCTTGATTTAAGTATTCGGTAGTTCTTGTCTGTTCGATTAAAATCCATTAATACAGTGGTCATCAGAAAATATGTAATCGATTGATCGACGACAAACCATCGTCCAGTTAGTAAATCGGAAAATTTTACGGCAAATGAACAGAAATAAAAGAGGGGTCTTCGATATTAGTCCTTTAAGAATTACATTTTGAGATTAGTCCTATAAATCATTCAAATTGCTCACGTGTCCTCCTTCGTGTATTATTTTTGATTCGAGGTAGGAGTGCAAGCGGATTGGATAAGGGTCGCAAATGATTATTATCATATTTATATTTGTTTATTACGAGTCATTAATATGGATATAAATACATATATGTCTCCACAGAGAAATTCATATTCATATCGACCAAAATTGAATACGAATACAATCCATATAAAGAAAATATACACATGTACAAAGCGGATACAAGGAGAAGACATAAGAATGACATTAATATGTACCGAGAGATGATTAATTAAAATAAATTTCTTAAATGTAAGTCCATTATTATTTTCAATATATATGAAAAGGTTAAGATGAACCTCAGATCATCAAAGTAAGTTTTAAATACACTAATCCAATGGTCAAAACAATTAGAGTTATATGATTAATACATATATTCGAATGGTCAGCTACGGATCTGAACATTAAACTTCTTATATTTGTATATGTATTCATGTTCTGTCATATCTACGTATTTCTATTTTTATTTGTATCCTAACATATGCAAACATAGATATTTTGAAATACTAGCATTGTTTTGCATCCCTAACTGCAGGAAGTAATTTGAAACTACTTGTAAGAATATAGGGAGCGAGTACTACAATGATTTCAGGGAGTAATTCTCTAGTAGCGGACAAGAATCGGGGACCTAGTAGCAATTTCATGATTTGAGGGGCTAGTTCATAATAATAAAAATGGAAAGGGGCTCAAATAGGCAAAAACCAATAAAAAACAAAAAGGTCGAGAAAAATAGAAGGGAGGTTATTTTTCCTTTTCGGCTCCTCGTCCATGAGAATGGAAAAGAGAATTTAGAGAGGCGAAAACTTCTTTTTGCTGTATAAAATTCTTCGGCTTCTTGAAACCCTAAATAGGAGTTAATCAGAACCCTAAATTCTTCGGATCCGTACGTTGTTTCAAGATCGCCTGAGTTGGATTTTTCCAGAATTCGTTTGATTCCTCGTCTCGAAATCTGGACCTCAGTTTGAATAGGTGAGTTACTGTTCTGGTTTTGCCTTGGACTCATTCTAGGGTTTATTTTCTTTGAATTGAAGCTTAGATCTTGGCAGCAATTTATTAGGTTTTCAGAGTTACAATTACAATTGGAAGTTTAGCCCCATTTGTAGCCTTGTGCTGTGATTTATAGCGATCGAGTACATAAGTATTGATTTTTGCTATTATTTTGATATTTAGATCTGGATCCTGACTGTAATTTTGATAATTTGGTGAAGAAAGGAGAGAATTTGAGGATAAAATGGGTAGTCGAATGAAGGAGGATGAGAGAAACGAGAAGATTATCCGAGGGCTTATGAAGCTTCCGGCGAATAAGAGATGCATTAATTGCAATAATCTAGTAAGTTTTAATTTTTTTAGTAGATATTAACTTTCTTGCCTAATTTGTTTAATTCTATATTTCTATTAAGTTCTACAGCTTTAAATTGTCTGGATAAAGTTGTCTTACTTCATGCTTGCTAAATATAAGTCCTTGATAAACAGACATTACAGAAATATCGTTCTGTTTACTTTAACGTAGAAGGAGATAAGCTTCAAAAGGGGCATATTACTTTATTTACGTCCTTAAGTTTCAAAATTATTGAATGAATCAATTAAAATGTACTAGCTGGTGAGACTGCTAATTGGCTGATTGAGAAGCGATTCAAACTTCAAGCGTGGGTCTAATTTATTTCAGTTCTAATGCATCAAAATTTCTTTTAGGTTTTGCCCGTTTTTTGGAAAGGGAGGTGGGAGCTAGGACACGGGCATTGGCTTAGACTTGAGGGCAGAAATTCAGTAGAAGAAAAACATAGTTCTTGAAAACAGTGAAAAAAAAGAAAAGTCGAAGGAAAGCAGCCATCTAACTAATAGGAACTTATGAAAGTAATCAAGTATTACTAAAGTCTTTAGAGATGAATAAGCTTCAACCTTAAAATTTCAGTTTAGTTGAAATGTGAACTTTAAGATTAATGAGGGGCATTGCAGTCTAAATCATAGAGTATAAATTGAGTGGCTTAATTTCAGTTGAGATTTGAGCATCAAAGTAGGGAGGACAGCTGATGTGGTTTGAACATATTGCAAAGGAGGAATAGAATGATGGTTGGTGTATAGGTAGATATGAAAAACAAAGCTTACGGATGGCAAAAAAATTGATAGTTAGGTTAACAGGAAGATGAGCCTTGAGACAGTTGAATGAAATTTCTACCTTGCTAACTTAAAAGATTTTCATAAAAAATCTTTCTCGTTATTTAGCTTAGACATAAATAAGGGGCGATAAGAAGGAATGTATGGAAGTCTTTTAGAGATGCTACAACACCAAAGTAACTATGGTTATAGCAACCTTTATGCGGCCTTTTTCCAAGCAAGCTCTTTGACAAACTATGCATGAAGAAAAGAACAAGGTGTCCAGTATTGAGCCACAGTACTTTGAAGGAATATATTTGAGATTCGTGTTGGACTTAAGTTGAGGCTAGCAAGATTTTATACCTAGTCATCAAGTTGAACCTTATGCCTAGCTGCTGCAAAGTTTTCTTGCATTGCTTGATAACAAGTCAGCATCCTACCAAGTAAAGTTAGGGAATAAAAGTCATAGAGCTGGAGTTTTGGCAATAAAAGTCTAACTTAGGTTATAGACTAAAGTTAGGGAATGAAGTCTAACTTAGGTTATAGAGTTGGAGTTTTGGACGTGTTTAACATTGTCGAGGTCAAGCGTGCTCACCGCTTCTAAAGCAACTTAGTAATTCAACAACGAATTTGGATATCTTGTAACTGATTTGAAGAAAGATTTCTATGAGAAGTTGAGAAACTGCTTGGGGAAATTAGACTTTTTGACTTCTTGCATCCGTTGGAGCAGAAATCCACCCATCACTCTTTCTTTCCTATTCTGTTAGAAAATCTCCCATTATCTTTCTTTTATTGAGTTACTTGTCTCCATTTCTCTCATGAAACTTATCTTAGTTATCTATAGCTTCTCTCTCATGGTTTTATTATTGTCTAAGGGCTAAATTTCAAGAAACAATTTATGAAGTTCAGGTCATTTTTATAAGAATACCATGTACATTTCTTGTTCATTTAACTTTAAAGTTCAGTTAAATTTCTGAAAAATCAACGCCGTTTTTCTAAAAATTGTATATGCATTTGTGGTACTTACATTGGGGGAAATTTCATTGTAGTTCCTAAAAAATAGCCTGAAATTTCAAGGTAGTCTCGTGAAATTTATCCTTATCTGAAATTCTTTCTCCAAGTCTATTTCAAAATTTTAGATTGTTTATAAGCATTTGAAATTTAAAAGTATCTTTTCTAAAATACTCTTTTAGATCAACCCTCGTAAGGAGACTTATCTAAATCCACATACGTCCTTATTTTCTGTGCTTTTCTGAATCTGATCAAATTGGGCCAAGACTGACAACAGTACTCCATTAACTTCGTTTTTTGTTACAACAAATAATCATATTTTCTTCTGTACTATTATACTGTGCACCGACTCTCGAATAGTTGGATTGGCAGAACTTCAACTCTCTCTGTGTAAATTGGTTTTATGATCATCTGTTACCCTTGCTTTTAGTCTTAGCCAATTTTCGCTATGAACCTCCTTTTATGCTATCAAGGAACCCTTTTTCAACCTAGAAGAATATAAAGTGGAATAACAATTTGAACTGGATTCCTTGTTCATTAAATCAAGATCCTTTACCAAACCTCATACTGGATAGTTCTGCCAACTGGTAACATACAGTACATATTACTGACTACTGTGATACTATCCACTCATTTCCCTTATTTAATCCTTTGTTCTGCTTCTTGACATTGAGAGTATAACTTTTTTTGGATTAACATGTATAAAAGTTTGAGCAATTTGGGCAAGCTATCGGCAAGTTGATACGTGAGGAGGGAGAGGCTCTTCTTACCCATTTTTATTTCCTTTTAACATTTGAAGATATATCATAGATCTTGTATTAAAATTGTTAACTTGGATGATTGGTTGTCATGTCAGTAAATCTATTGTTGAAGAAACAAATTGGTTTTTTATCTTCGGACTCCATTGTAAATTCACATCTTTTTTGACCGTAGTCAAAATAATGGCTCAATCAGGAAGGTAAATGGCTTAGTGTTCCAGTGAGCAAGTCAATGTTTTCATAAACGTTAGGCGCCATACCTAGCCCCAATGCCAAGGCATCTAGGCAGGTGTCTAAGCAGGGCCTAGGCGCTTTTTTTCTCGCTTCATTCTTTAAGATGGGTTTTTGCCACAATGAGAGGCATAGGAAATGAAGTGAGAGGAAGAAAGGATAAAGAAAAAGTGGAAGAAAATCGTTACACAGATGAATTTGTAAGTATTTGTGTAAACAAGACTTCCCGTAAATTAAAAAAAAAGACTTCTTGAAAGTGTGGACAACAATTGGAGGTGGCTTAGCCCCTGTTGTTGGGACCCTAAATGATAGCTGTAAAAGCGAAGAGGAAGGGTAAGAGAAGACAACAGAAGAGGAAAAGGCGAAGAGGAAGGCTAAGAGAAGACAACCTAAGAGGAAAATGTTTTCTTAAAGATTCAAAATCTTAGCCTTTATGTTATCTAATTCGGATTTGGTTTGATCCGTTTTGTTCAACCCATTTTCTTCATGTGCTTTGAGCTTAAGCATTTTTTTAAAGCAGTGTGGCCCATTTAAGTGCTAGGCCCCCCATGAGCTTAGCTAGGCAGTCTTGGTACTGCCTAGAGGCAGGCACCCAGACCACTTTTTAAAACAGTGTGTTGTTATGTTTCTTTTTGATGATTTGTTGTACTAAAAGAGAATCTTTCGCTTTTGCTTATAATTCATCAATGTGTGTATCCTCTCTGATATAGAGTCCATAATGTTCCTAAAGATAAATTTAATTTCTTATTATAATATGATTTTCACATGTGAACAGGGACCACAATATGTATGCACAAATTTCTGGACCTTCATTTGTACGAATTGCAGTGGACTACAGTAAGTATTCATATTCATTCTGTTTCTCCTTTTGACTTTAAAGTTGCCATTTGCATTCTCTTGGCTGGCCATTTATTCTCATTGTCTTTTGTGGTAAATTATATGAGAATGAGAATTTTTATGTACATTTATATAGGTAGTTTTTTCACTTCATTTATGATAAAGGTTCCTCCTCTTCGAACTATGATGTTTTGATTATTCAGCTTCTTACTTTCAAGTATTATTGTATTAGTTTCTGTTCTCATTACATTGTTGTCTCCTAGTCGGGAATTCTGTCACAGAGTGAAATCAATATCTATGGCTAAATTTACTACACAAGAAGTTGATGCTCTTCAAGAAGGGGGAAATGAGGTAACATGTGGAAAATTCTTCTTTTCTTCTTGTTATCTTATTTTATTGAAGATGCAGCCTCATTAACATTGTTGGATGCATTGTACAGAGAGCTAAAGAAATTTATTTTAAGGAGTGGGATCCACAACGAAATTCATTTCCTGATAGCAGGTTATTTCTGATACCAGAATTTTTGCTGGTTTATCATCTTCATAATTATAATGCTGATTTTTTTCCCTTCTCAGTAATATTGATAGGCTCAGAGACTTCATTAAGCATGTTTATGTGGACCGGAGGTTCTCTGGGGGAAGGAATATGGACAGACCACTACAGGGGAAGGTGCTGTTGAGTGCTTAAGTGAACTTAAAAAAAATTGCTTTTGCGCTTTCTGCTAACAATATTGTGAACTTGAATTTTACCATTCGCCTCGTATGTTGTCTTAATTGTCAATATTGGTTTATATTTGCATGTTGCAGGCTAGTCAGGATGACTCTAATGACAATAGAAGAGGAGATTCATATCGAAGTGCCTCGAGAAGTCCATCGTACGATGACCGTTACAGCGAGCGCATTGGTACTGGTGGTAGAAATGGTGACAGAAATATTAGATATATTTATGGGGAAAGAAGTCCTGGGTATGACTCAAGTGGCAACAAGAGAAGCCCTCGCCGATTTGAAGTGGTGGATGACAGGGTACGAGATGATAAATATGGAACTGGAAACCAAATAAGCAGATTTGAAGACCGAAGACTTCCACCTAAGCCAGAGGGATCATCACCAATCCATCAGAAAGATGTGTCCAGCCCCCCCATGGTTCGTCCTGTAAGGGATATTTTAGGTGATGACATTCCACAACTTAATGTTGGTAACACTGCTAAGGCCAATGATACCAAGGTTGCAGATACGTCTGCTCGTCCACAGGTGAGGTTCATATTGGTAATTGAAGGTGATATTTTACGTTTCTATATGGTGTTTCATGGAAATTGTTACTTGTCCTTTGACTTATTTCTTCCTCATTTTGTCATGGTATCGTCTCATTCATGTGAAAATTGCATGACACTAGTGAATTCATGATAGACTCTTTTGTTATAACCGCTAGAAGGCGATCGGTTCATTCTGGATGATTTTTATTTTGGAATTCTTTAGATTATATAGAGCTTTCTGTTCATTTTAACTAGGAAGATAACATTCTTGCTTCCTCATTAGTTCAAGTAAAATATGGGTTAGAAAGGGGAGATACGCAAGCATACTTTTTTTTTGGGGCTTTCTTTGTGGCTGTTGACATCCGGAATTGCCTATTGTCAAGAAAGTAACTATCCTGCATTATACTTCTTGACTAGAGTATGATTACAAGTTATTAGTCCATAGTGCTGTTATAGTTGATCGATACCAATAATCAACACCTATAATTATTTGATTTCTGAGGTTTGTCTATTTTACCTTTACATTTTAAATCGTTTATTTGTCAAATTTCTTTCTATTGTTAAGTGAATTATGTTCTAAACTCCTTAAGTTACAAGTACTGGAAGCAGTATCATAATTCAGTTCTCCCTTTTCAGCTTTTGGTAATTTGTCTCAGTTATTTCGGATAATTTACCTGTGGCATGTTTGGATCTTCCCCGATCAGACCTGACACATCAATCAAAGAGTGTCTAAAAACCATGTGAATAACTATGAGCATAAGTTAATCTGTTTGGGGTCATCAAATCTTTGTTTCAGTGCTGAGCAAATTCCAGCACATTCATTTTGGCACGAAATGAATGTATTGGAATTTGCTCAGAACTTATATGCAAAATTATAGAAAATCCAGCTTTTGTTCCTACTAGCTTTAATGTTTAAAATGCTTCATTTCCTGAAGCCGTATAGTTTTGGTGTCTGCTACTCTACTATATCATTCAATACAAGCTTAGTCAATTCCATTTTAAAGCTCATCATGTGCGGTTGAACCGTTACCTGAACCTTATTTCAAACTCCTGAAGTTTAAAGTGTACAATCAATTTATGGGCATTTGCTTATGGCAGAGAACTTCATCCCTAAGTAGCACGGGATCTGGTGATGAGAATTCATTGCAACAGAAGAAGGTTAACTTAGGGAGTTTGATAGATTTTGGTGCGGATCCTGAGCCTCCTGTTGTCACTGCACAAGAGCAGCCTACTATTCAGCAAAACACATCTCCACCCTCTGGTAGTGGAAATTGGGCATTCTTTGATAATGCAGGCCAACAAACGGCATCTCAAGCCAGTGCAAATCCAGGGTCTCTGGAATCTGCGCTAAATCAATTATCAGCACCTGGACCTGCACAGACAGTCTCCGTGTCTACCCTGCCAATATCTGGTGTTGGTACCTCCCCCAGTGCCAATGGAGGACAATATCCCTCGATGCAGCAGCATCAGACTTCTTTGTTTCCATCTAACCTCAGTCAACCTACAAGTCCACCTTTCAACGCACATGTTGCTGGAGGGCAGGCAAGTTTATTTGTTTCATTGTTTGTGTAAGATTCTCCTTGATAATTAAAATGTAACACTGATGCTATTGGCATACTCCTCCAGTCTTGGGGATCGTCAGGATTACCAAGCATACAAGGAACTTTGCCTAATTCAGGTGGACATTCATCTCAAGTCGCCAGCATATCACCTCGTCAAGAAATAAATGCGGGAGTTCCTTCACAACCTGCTTCTGTGGAGGCTAAGCCTACAGGAAGAAAAGAACTCCCAGCAGTAATGTCTTAGTGCCAACTGTCCAGTCCCTCTGTGCTCATTGTTATTACCATTACTTATGGATCTTATTCAATCTGCAGGATCTTTTCACTGCACTTTATCCCTCAGCATCTATGTCGGTACCAGGCTGGCAAAGGGGTCCCTATCCTGGCATTGGGTATGGGATGCAATATCCTATGAGAATGGTAATAATTGTGGCATGTTTTGTTTTTACCTTTTTAACTCTATCCCAATGAGGCCATGTTTATTTATTTAATATTGTATGGTTATCTATTCATTTTTCCAGCCTCAAACAATGACTGCATTTCCTCATCCATCAAAATCTACAAACCCCTTTGATTCCGGCAGTGAGCCTGCTTTAGCTCATGCTCCAACGGTATGCAATGTTTTCTTTTCTTTCTTGCATTTGCTATGGTATTCTCAAGTTCATTTTTGAGGTATATTTAGCATATACAAAGAAAGTTATGGGTACCTTATTAAGTTTATATTCTTTGGAAATTTATCTATAGACAGTCAATATGTTGTGTGATTTTAGAATAGGTTTTTGTACGTTGAAGAAAAATTACCAACTAAAAGGATCTAAAAAACTAATGGATTACAATTGTTCTTGAAGGACAAGATTTAATAATACATATTACTATATGAGAGAAAACGGGAACAAGATGCCTATCATCTCGTGCCAGGTGTCAACTATTGCACATAATGCTACTAGGAAGATATCTTGATTTGTTAGAAGGCGTCAGGATTTGTCTTATATGATCCCATTTTATCTACGCCATTGGTTGGTGACGTGCTTAAGTTTGAGTACTACTCGAAATTGAGCAAACTTATTTGAGACTGCACAAAGTCTATAAGACCAATGTTCCATTAAACGTTGGGCGTTTCTAGGCGTCGGGCTTGGCGCCCAGCACTTAGTCCCCTAGGCGGGCGCTTAAGTGGTTTCTGGGCGTTTTTTTTCTTTCTTGATTTAAGTGGTGGTCGATGAGGTTTTGCTGAAGGTCGGAGGAGGTAGTAAAGGTGTTCATATTTGAAGGTTAATGGAGTTTGTAGGACGTGTAGGCGACGACACATAAAATCACAATCAAGCTCTACAGGGTGCAATCCACGTAAGCAGATAATGCTCCCCTAAACGCTCGTAAAATCTAGGTGGGCAGCCTAAATACCGCCTAGGCGCTAGGCGCTAGCTAGACGGCCTAGGTACCGCTTAGGCCTAGGCGTACGCCTAAGCGGACTAGGCGGAAGTTTTTTAAAACAGTGTATAAGACCAACGCGTTTCTCTTCATGTTTCCTATCCAAGGCCACCTTTGTGAGCATGTCTTATAGTATTGCCTATATGGCCTAATAATAGAGTCTATACTCCCTAATAAAGCCTAACATAGATCATTGCAACCAATCGAATTTATCGTGATTAGAGTCGATATAAGAAGGGAATGTGAATTAAATATAAAAGAAGAACCAAGATAAATATAAAATGGGTGTATAGAATATAGATTACAGACTCGATATGAGACTAAATTTTGAACAAAGGAGAGAGATAAAAATATCTCATATATGTTTTTAAGGGCACATTTCTTTTTATTTTGACATGCGGATGAGAGTTTTAGGCTCAAAACTGACCCAGATAACTTAAGTCCAGATCCGAAGTATTTAGAGCTGGGCCTGACAGCTCAATCCCACCCTACATGCAAGGAGCTATGAAGCACGGACACGCATAACATGAAGCCGTGTCGTGTCGTGTCCGTGTCGGACACACGTGTCGACATACGTATCCTATGTACTTCTTTTTATGATCTGCCTCGTGTCGGCGTGTCGGATGGCCGTGTTGGATCCGTGTCCGTGCTACTATAAGTTGTTTTTATATCTACCATAAGGATGTAATAAGAAAGGAGGATGATACAAGAAGAAGATGCATAGTTTATAACTTTTAAGATACAACCATAAGTTGTTTTTTACAACTAGAATGACATCATATTTTGATTCAAAGCCAATACATATATTTGATATATGTATCTCAAAAGTAGATAAAGGATGAAATTTGTTGATGTGATCCGACCTTTCTTATTACATCCTTATGCTTGTGTGATGTTAGCTAGGTTGTGGCCTTGGTTATATATGCCTAGTACAAACTTTTTTAAGCATGTCAATATTTTTTCAGTCCTAAATCTTGATTTGTTTGCAGCTTGTCATTTTCATGTGGTTCTGAGTATATATGGGATATGCCTGTTTCTTATGTGTTTATTGGAACTTCAAGACATTCTTCTCTTCCACTTTCATTATGCATTTATCCATGCACTTGAAGATATGTGCCTTTTCAGATTATCCATGTTTCCTATTTGACCATGCATCTATCACAATGGAACAACCCTGCTCCACCCAAGCTTTTGTGCTTGCTAAGACCCTTGTCCGTTATCTTTAGCTTGCTGTTTCAACTGATATTGACTAGAATCTCTGTGACCAGATCCATGACCTGTAGCTTCAAATGCTTTATTCCCAGCTGTGCCAGTAGCATGAAATAGAATGCCTTTCTCATAGCACCACAAAATTGATCTTGATGAGCAATTTCTCTTCTAGTCTTGTTATTATTTTCATTTAGCATAGATTATCTTAATTGTGCAGTCTCTACGGTGATAGTATGCATAATTCAATATAGTGGCCGCATGTGCAGCAGCATAATTCTCCTTCTTGAAAAGTACAGATGGCAAAGTGTGGTTTTCCATATACTTTCTTATATAACTTTTGAATGGTGTATCATCTGGAGACTGGCGTACATATATATGATAGCATTGATGGTAGTATGGTTTTCATATATTTGCATATAGTTTTTGTATGGTCTTTGCATCTGGCATACAGATACTTGATAGCATGGCGCGTATACTTTTTAGTAGTCTTGGTGTAAGTTCATATTGCGTGATCTAAGTTAGTTTAGAACATTGATATATTTCTTTTCACCTGTCTTTTAGCTGTTCATGAGTTGAAAATTGAAGAAACATTGTGCCCCTAAGTGAGTTGTTGAGATCCTGTGGATGTCAGAGGGAAAGGTCTTTGCCAGTTAAAAGATAAATTTTCTGATTCAGAATGTAGATGTACTGGTTTAAGATCATATTTTTTTAACTCGCCATATAACTGTATAAATTCTGATACATAATTGTATTTATTGACATCTGTGGAACACCGCTAGGTTCTTATGTTATCAAGACCTAGAAGAGCATGTCAGGTCTACTATGTTTTCTGTACTGCCTTTTTCTTGTATTAGGCAAACAATGACGATCTAAATTACTATTCCTCTGTTGCATAACGATTACTCTGTCCTGCTGACATCTAAATCATTCAAATGCATCTGCCATTTGTTGAAATTTCAAAAGATCACAGTAGCCACTTTGTCATGCTTCTGTAGGTTACAGTGGATTTGCTTATAGTCTTCTTGTTGACGGTTTATTGACATCATATGCTGAAACGTTAGAAAGATATATATGATAACTCGTCTCTTAATTAATCCTACCAGTGAGGTTTCTATATGCTGTGTGGATGACTAATTATGGTCCGCTGTTGTTTGCGGTCTTTAAAAATTGGAACTGGCAAGAGATTTGTTGGTGTACAGGTTTATTTTGTTTATATTGGAATAGCTAATCAATACAACATTGAGAATTTCTATGGTTTGAGAATTATGGGTAAATCATGAACTATTAGGTTTTGCAGGAATTATATTGAACATTGTTTTTATTTAGAGAAAGCCACCAAAAATTTGGAATCAACAAATACTCCCTTAATGACATTATGATGCTACTAAAAATACTAAAATACGCCACAGGCAAGGGGGTTAGGGTGAGTGTAGTTGTATATAAAGTAAAAGGACAAATAATCCCAAAGAAAGCCGTGCTTACCTCGTGATACTTCCCCTAAAAACAGCTAAGACATGGGAGCTTGTTGAAAATAGTTTGTGGTAGTTTTCTCCAATAAAATAATTTAGGGTAGTTTCCTGCAATACCTAGCATCTTGCGTTTTTTTTAAGTTTCTTTGAAAATTATCTTAGATTTTCCTACACATTTTTTTATGTTGATTCTCAATTAGCAGCATCCAGAATCTATTTCTCCGCCTTTCCTCCCTGATGATCATGGAGTGGAGGATAGATGTCTCAGAAGTCAGAATCGTATATCTACTGAAGAATAAACTGGTTTTCTTTTGGCATTGTCATACATTTAATACTTGTGCCACATGGTTACGCTGTTGATAACTGGTGCTCTTATCTGTTTTTTGATGGATTGCTACCAGTATTATTAGCAAGCAGCTTGGGTTCTGCTACTCACATCCCCTTTGTCATCAAATTAACTACGTTTACATGCTAATTTAGAAAACAGACACATGAGCTTCCCATTACTATGGCAAATATAGGTGAGCAATAGCCAGTACATAATTTATGGCTTTCCTTTTCTGTTTTGATGCAGTTTCCATCTATGGCCCCTCTGCACGGAGCATTGCCACATGTGCCTGCACCTTCACCCTTAGTTCGAAGCTCCAGCTTCGGGAATCCATCTGCTCAATGGGTTTCCCCACAGCAATCACCTTTTTCACCAGCTATGCCCCAAGGTAAGTCTAACTTTTAGTTACTAGGTTCTTTTAATATTCTCCATATATAGAGGTGCTAATGAGTGCTGAAAGCAGGTCAATACATGATGCAGCAGGTTCCTGGTGACATGCCCCAGATGATGCATAATAATATGGTTATGATGGGGTAAGTGCTATAATGCACTCTATTGTTCCCTGGCTAATTCTTTACTAAAAGATTCTTCAAGATTATCACAATAGTGCTTGCAATTTTGTGCTCACCTTTTCCATCACCAAGTGCCATGCTCTTGATTCTACCGTGGGGCTCTTAGATGTGCCTTTGACTCGATGTAATCCCTATAGCAAAACCAACCATTTTCCTCTCCTTCTAGACCTTTTGCTTATTCCAGGAGAATATGGATGATGGTTAGTGATCTTTTAAGATTATAGCAAACTCTTCTTCTTTATAGTTAACTTGGTAGGATTTTTGGCACTATCTAAGGTAAGTTTGATGTCAAGTACATAGCTGACCCTATTTGGATGGGAAGAGTTAGACAATAATGTTAAGTGACATATATTCAGATCTGTTTGTTTTTTCTTTGTTTAAATTCTAGTTACTCAAGAGAGTAATTCTCCTAGAAGGTCACTTTTTACCTCTTTTTCACTTTGCTTTTGTTGCAATTTGATATTAAACCTTGCTTTCTTGCACTGAAACGAAGTTAACTTTTGACTTGTACTGTCCACGTTGTAATTTGATAACATAAGATGCTTTGGTATTTTACTAAAAAATCACTATAGCTCGTATTTTTATGTGGAAATCTGTTCTCTAAGAAATGTAAAGGACATCAGACATGTACAACATAAAAGTAACTTCGATGTTTGGATATTCTATATCAAAGATTGTCAAGGTTGTCAAATAACACCCTATTGTCAAATAACACCCTATTGTGGCCCTCTTAACCTTTTATCTTCAAAATCACAATAGCCAGTGGGTCTTCGTGGAATCTGTTTCTAAGAAATATAACTGACATCTATTATATGTACAACAGTAAGTAACTTTGATTTTTGGATATGCTATTTCGAAGAATTCTCGGGTACTAGAGCAACTCCTTATCATTACCCTGAGCTTATTGTTGTTTTCTTCCCTATAATTGTAGACACCAAGGTACTGGAGGCCCAGCCAATCCAAATGCTGGGCTTGGTAATTTAGGCATGGACCAGCATCCAACTGGCAGATACTCTCTACCGAACACCCCAAATTCTTTTGGTTCCACTGGAGGAAATCCCTTTGGCTAGTCATCAAAAGAGATGCTGCTATTGTGTTGTAATTTTGTGGCATATCGTTATTCTTTGCCTGTTAACAGCTAAAAATGGACCAGTCTCTCTGGTTATGGAATAAGAAAAATCAACCAGCCCAGCGAGATGTATCCTCCACTTGTGCAGTGAGATCACATATTGTACCCGTTTGTGTACAAATTAATGTGAAGAGAGTACCGTCATTGTTTTACTTTCCATTTTGGGTGGGTACCGATGGAATTTCTTTGAGTTCCTCATATGTATAAATTTATATTAGGCGTCATGATACTCATTTGCCTTGGGCTTGGCATGACATGCGGCGGAGTTTGTTGTAATAGTTGTTCAAGGGTTTCTTTTGTTCCTCTCTGTATTTGAGTTCGGGCCGTTTTTCATTTAACCTTTTTCATCCTTTATTTCTTCCCCTCCGAGAGTAATTAGCGTCACTTTGTGACTTGGATAGAACTATGTAATATTGTATCAGGTCATTTGACATTTTTCTGTTTTTGTGCTTTATTTGTATCGATTATAATTAGAGACAAAAACATTCTTTGAAGCAGTTTATTCTTCTGGTTATTGATTTTAGGTCCGTCTGAGTTGCATCAATTGTAGGTGCCTTACATAATTATAATCATATATTGCCTTGTAGGTTGGTGCTCAAAGGATTGCGATCCTCTATTATTAGGTGGCATTAATGCCTCAGGGACCTAAATAGGGGACCCAAGGCATGGGACATGTGAGGTGTTATCATCCGGTTGTATGATGCATTGTTCATGAACAGTGTATCATACAACCGGATGATGATATCTTACATGTCCCATGCTTTGGGTCCCCTATTTGGGTCACTGTAGCAACACCCAGAGAGACTCTGTATTGACCCGAAAATGTCTTAGGTTTTAGAATAACATAGGATATGCAAATGTTAAATGACAGAGGGCTTTTTGCAATATTCACAAGCCTTCTTACCTGCATAAACGCCAACCGTTCACCTTCATGACAATAAACCATTGGATGTTACCTCTGTAGGATAAGAATAAATGGAGGAAAAATCTCACCCCCCCCCCCACCTCCAAAAGCCTACGTACCCTAATTTTCTTGCTGAAAGTTGAATTGAAGCAAGAGGAAAAAGGAAATTGAGGAAGAGAGAAGAAAGACCTTAAATTAGCCTCTAACCTATATTGGAAGTTATAATCATTCTCTTCTTTTGCGCTCCGCAATACCCCCCTAAAAAAAAAGATTTCAAGCATGATGATGATGATAGTTACATTTAATTTGTGGATTGTGTTTTATAGTTAGGTTTTCGAATAAAAAAAAGGAAAAAAAGAAAAATCCTAGCTCCTACGAGAACTTCAGTCTTTGGTCGTCCCTAGCCGCCTGTAAGTCCCAACCAATTGGGGTCACCCGGTGATCGAGGAAGGCATTGGGGGCCAAGCTTTGTTCATGAACAGTGCATCATACAACCGGATGGTGACATCTCACATGTACCATACTTTGGGTCCCCTATTTGGGTCCCTGTAGCAACACCCAGAGAGACTCTGTATTAACCCGAAAATGTCTTAGGTTCCAGAATAACATAGGATATGCAAATGTTAAATGACAGAGGGCTTTTTGCAATATTCACAAGCCTTCTTACCTGCATGAACGGCAACCGTTCACCTTAATGATAATAAACCATTGGATGTTACCTCTGTAGGATAAGAATAAATGGAGGAAAAATCTCACCCCCCCCCCTCCAAAAGCCTACGTACCCTAATTTTCTTGCTGAAAGTTGAATTGAAGCAAGAGGAAAAAGGAAATTGAGGAAGAGAGAAGAAAGACCTTAAATTAGCCTCTAACCTATATTGGAAGTTATAATCATCCTCTTCTTTTGCGCTTCGCAACACCCCCCCTAAAAAAAACGATTTCAAGCATGATGATGATGAATAATCATCCTCTTCTTTTGCGCTCCGCAACACCCCCCTAAAAAAACGATTTCAAGCATGATGATGATGATAGTTACGTTTAATCTGTGGATTGTGTTTTATAGTTAGATTTTTGATTAAAAAAAGGAAAAAAAAGAAAAATCTTAGCTCCTGCGAGGACCTCAGTCATCGGCCGTCCCTAGCCACCTGTGAGTCCCAAACAATTGGGGTCACCCGGTGACCGAGGAAGGCATTGGGGGCCAAGCTTTGTTCATGAACAGTGCATCATATAACCGGATGGTGACATCTCACATGTCCCATACTTTGGGTCCCCTATTTGGGTCCATGTAGCAACACCCAGAGAGACTCTGTATTGACCCGAAAATGTCTTAGGTTCTAGAATAACATAAGATATGCAAATGTTAAATGACAGAGGGCTTTTTGTAATATTCACAAGCCTTCTTACCTGCATGAACGCCAACCGTTCACCTTCATGACAATAAACCATTGGATGTTACCTCTGTAGGATAAGAATAAATGGAGGAAAAATCTCAACCCCCCCACCCCCTCCAAAAGCATACATACCCTAATTTTCTTGCTGAAAGTTGAATTGAAGCAAGAGGAAAAAGGAAATTGAGGAAGAGAGGAGAAAGACCTTAAATTAGCCTCTAACCTATATTGGAAGTTATAATCATCCTCTTCTTTTGCGCTCCGCAACACCCCCCTAAAAAAACGATTTCAAGCATGATGATGATGATAGTTACGTTTAATCTGTGGATTGTGTTTTATAGTAAGGTTTTTGATTAAAAAAAGGAAAAAAGAAAAATCCTAGCTCCTACGAGGACCTCAGTCTTTGGCCGTCCCTAGCCGCCTGTGATCCCAACCAATTAGGGTCACCCGGTGACCGAGGAAGGCATTGGGGGCCAAGCTTTGTTCATGAACAGTGCATCATACAACCGGATGGTGACATCTCACATGTCCTATACTTTGGGTCCCCTATTTGGGTCCCTGTAGCAACACCCAGAGAGACTCTGTATTGACCCGAAAATGTCTTAGGTTCTAGAATAACATAGGATATGCAAATGTTAAATGACAGAGGGCTTTTTGCAATATTCACAAGCCTTCTTACCTGCATGAACGCCAACTGTTCACCTTCATGACAATAAACCATTGGATGTTACCTCTGTAGGATAAGAATAAATGGAGGAAAAATCTCACCCCCCCCCCCACCTCCAAAAGCCTACGTACCCTAATTTTCTTGCTGAAAGTTGAATTCAAGCAAGAGGAAAAATGAAATTGAGGAAGAGAGAAGAAAGACCTTAAATTAGCCTCTAACCTATATTGGAAGTTATAATCATCCTCTTCTTTTGCGCTCCGCAACACCCCACGATTTCAAGCATGATGATGATGATAGTTACGTTTAATCTGTGGATTGTGTTTTATAGTTAGGTTTTTGATTAAAAAAAAGGAAAAAAGAAAAATCCTAGCTCCTATGAGGACCTCAGTCTTCGTTCGTCCTTAGCCGCCTATGAGTCCCAAATAATTGGGGTCACCCGGTGACCGAGGAAGGCATTGGGGGCCAAGCTTTGTTCATGAACAGTACATCATACAACCTGATGGTGACATCTCACATGTCCCATACTTTGGGTCCCATACTTTGGGTTCCCTATTTGGGTCCCTGTAGCAACACCCATAGAGACTCTGTATTGACCCGAAAATGTCTTCGTTCTAGAATAACATAGGATATGCAAATGTTAAATGACAGAGGGCTTTTTGCAATATTCACAAGCCTTCTTACCTGCATGAACGCCAACCGTTCACCTTCATGACAATAAACCATTGGATGTTACCTCTGTAGGATAAGAATAAATGGAGGAAAAATCTCAACCCCCCCACCCCCTCCAAAAGCATACATACCCTAATTTTCTTGCTGAAAGTTGAATTGAAGCAAGAGGAAAAAGGAAATTGAGGAAGAGAGAAGAAAGACCTTAAATTAGCCTCTAACCTATATTGGAAGTTATAATCATCCTCTTCTTTTGCGCTCCGCAACACCCCACTAAAAAAAACAATTTCAAGCATGATGATGATGATAGTTACGTTTAATCTGTGGATTGTGTTTTATAGTTAGATTTTTGATTAAAAAAAGGAAAAAAGAATAATCCTAGCTTCTGTGAGGACCTCAGTCTTCGGCCGTCCCTAGCCGCCTGTGAGTCCCAAACAATTAGGGTCACCCGGTGACCGAGGAAGGTATTGGGGGTCAAGCTTTGTTCATGAACAGTGCATCATACAACCGGATGGTGACATCTCACATGTCCCATATTTTGGGTCCCCTATTTGGGTCCCTGTAGCAACACCCTGAGAGACTCTGTATTGACTCGAAAATATCTTAGGTTCTAGAATAACATAGGATATGCAAATGTTAAATGACAGAGGGCTTTTTGCAATATTCATAAGCCTTCTTACCTGCATGAACGCCAACCGTTCACCTTTATGACAATAAACCATTGGATGTTACCTCTGTAGGATAAGAATAAATTGAGGAAAAATCTCAACCCCCCCCCCCAAAAGCCTACGTACCCTAATTTTCTTGCTGAAAGTTGAATTGAAGCAAGAGGAAAAAGGAAATTGAGGAAGAGAGAAGAAAGACCTTAAATTAGCCTCTAACCTATATTGGAAGTTATAATCATCCTCTTCTTTTGCGCTCCGCAACACCCCCCTAAAAAAACGATTTCAAGCATGATGATGATGATAGTTACGTTTAATCTGTTGATTGTGTTTTATAGTTAGTTTTTTGATTAAAAAAAGGAAAAAAGAAAAATCCTAGCTCCTGCGAGGACGTCAGTCTTCGGCCGTCCTTAGCCGCCTGTGAGTCCCAACCAATTGGGGTCACCCGGTGACCGAGGAAGGCATTAGGGGCCAAGCTTGGTTTGGTGGGCGTGCAGCAATAAATAAAAAAAGGAGGGGGGAGAGAAATAGGAGGAAGAAGAAGAGTCGGGTGAAGGTTAGGAAGGGGGATGCTGAGCCTAGACGCTTGAAGTTGATTAGAGTTTACTGTTAAGCTCATCTAAATAAAAGAATGAAGGTTTTGACTAGGAAAAAATTAGTCCAAGTCCTCGGAACTTATAGGTCTTGTGAATAAGCTCTGATTGAGAAAATTTATATCCTAAATACGCAAGGATAAATTTTTTCAGACCCTTATTATTTTATAAATTAGAAATAGGTCTAGACTAAAAAGAATAGAGTACGAAACATGTCTAGAAAATTATTTCCAACTCCCCATTCTTGCTATAATTTGTTAATAAGTCCAAAAAAATTAGTAAACAAGTTTTATAAAGATTGTGATGAATTGCTAAAATTAGCAATAACTCTATATGAATCCTTTTATGAGTCTTAAATGCTATTTGATCTTATTTGGACCCTGATATGAAGTGACTAGTATATGTGTATATTAGTTGGGCATTAACCTTATAATTCTATACTATAGGACTTTGTGGATATCGAGATGGATCAAATATGGGAGGCTTTAGTTAGTTTAGAGGTGAGTTCATTTCTCACTATTGTTTTTGTAATATTAAATTGCATGTGTATTATACTTGATTGATCTTGTGATTGAAAAAATAATCATTATATTATTTTTCATGCATATAAAATGAAATGTGATTTGATCTATTTTGT